GTGGAGGACAGACAGGCCTGTTCAGGGCAGTGACACTCTCTGTTGGATACTGTGCATTTGGCACAACCCACAGAACTGTACAACACAGAGTGTGAGGCAACGTAACCTGTGGACTTCGGCTAATAATAATGTATCAGTGTCCGTTCATCACCAGTGCTAGCAAATTTACTGCACAATGTTAACCGTGGGCTGTTGTAGGTTGCAAGAGCTGCCGTAACAAAGTACCACAAACTGGTGGCTTAGAACAACAGAGACACGTTATCTCACAGTTCGAGGTTGGCAGTACAAAATCAAGGCATCAGCAGGGCCATGATCCCCCTGAAGACCCTAGAAAAGGGTGTGCTCCACGAGCCTGTCCCAGCTTCTGGTAGCTCAGTTGTTCCTTACCCTCCATCTCCTCACAGGGTGCTCCCAGAGTCTTCATATTCTCTTCCCTCAGAATGTCTTTATGTCCAAATGTCCCCCTATTTCCAAGGACACCAGGCGTACTGATTAGTCCCCACAACATTCTGAGGTACCAGGGGTTAGGTCCTCAGCTTGTCTTTGGACAGACCATTCACTGCACGCAGGAAACCATGGACAAGAAGGAAGGGAAGATATGGAAACTGATTTTTGTTCAGTTTTTCTCTAACTTTAAAACTACCCTAAGAAAGAAAGTCTATTCATGAAAGAAAAATGGTCTAGCACATAGTGTGTGCTCAATAAAGGTGAGTTACTCTGACAGCTGCATTAACTTATTTATTATCCCTTACACAACAGATTTTATCTTTGTATCCAAGACCTATATTGACATTGCCCCAGGATCCCAAGGGCTTTCTCCCACAACCCCCCCATTCACTGCTCGGTTTATGATGATTCGAAGGCAGATAGGCCTTAGCTTTCTCCACATGGTTGCCCCCTAATAATAATAATAAATCTTGGCTGTATTTCCACATGTGTGCAGAAGCTCATCTGCCCACACCCATATATCTAAGGCACTTCTTATCCACCGATGTTCCCAACCAAAGCACAATGGAGTAGTCCTCCTTATAAATGAGTCACAGGAGCCATCCAGTGAGGAACACATGTCCATAGTGGGAGGATCTGTAAATATAAAATATAATAATCAGACATTTTGTTTGAAAGATGCACATCAGATAATAACCTCAATCTATTTAACTTAAGAAAAGAATCATGGGTTGGATTTCATAAGCAGTAGTTGCTATGGAAAATAGTTGAGTGTGCCTCAAAAGAAGAAATAGAAACAAAAAGAAGAAATGACAGAGAATAAGACAAATGAAGAAATGTTGATAATGACCCCCACGGAAGTGGTGAGGGGAAGGGAGGAGATGAATCTTCAAGATGCCCCCAGGAGGTGAGGGCAACTTACCAGATGTTCACTCATAGAACCTTCTACCAGGGCCAAGAGCTCTGCAGTATGATTATCAAAAGGAGGGGCAGGGTGTTAAGAGATTTAAAATCTGTAATACTGCCTTATTATTTAATTACAGCAGCATGGGTGTGCCCAGTTTCAAGAAAATCTGGTATTTAAGAACCCATATTTAAAAGACAGTTATATCAGTAGATGATGAGTCACTGACTTTTTAAAGCACCTTTTCCCTTTACAGAAAGAATCACGTCAGAGTTTTTTGGGGTATTTTTGGTGGGGTTTTTTTGGGGGGGTTGATACTAATCTTTTTTTAAACTGTGGTAATATTGGTTTCCTAAACTGTATATGATTTAGGGGAATGGGTGCACACCTCTTCATATGTGTATTAACATACCCACCACCAAAGCACCCATAATCCTTCACTGAAGACCTCTGGACCCCCTCATCCTTTTGTTCCTCACCCCAATGTCCACTCTCCCTCTCCAGTGGCCTCAATCCTGCTGTCATATTTCTAGGGATTATTTTGGTTTGGTTTTGTCTTTTCTGTTGTTTCTCTCTCCTCCACATATGAGTGATATCATCTGGTGTTTGTCTTTCTCCTTCTGACTTAGTTCACTCAGCTTCCTTCCCTCGAGTTCCATCTATGTTGTCACAAATGGCAAGATTTCACCTCTTCATGTAACTGAGTAGTATTCCCTGTGTACACCACATCTTTATCCAGTCATCTACTGTTGGACACTTAGGTTGTTTCCATAGCTTGGATATTGTAAACAGCGCTGCAGTGAACACAGGGGTGCATATATCCCTTAAAGTTAATGTTTTCATTTTCTTTGGATAGATACATAAGGGTGGAATTGCTGGATCATATGGTAAATCTATTTTTGATATTTTGAGGCCCACTCAACTATTTTCCATAGCAACTAAATCATTCTACATGCCCACAAACAGTGTACAAGAATTCCTTTTTCTCCACACCCTCACCAGCATTTGTTGTTTCTAGTTTTTCGGTGCTTTTTTTTTTTTTTTAATATGGGCCATTCCCACAGAAGTGAGGTGATATCTCATTTTGGTTTTGATTTGCATTTTCCTAATGATAAGTAATGTTGAACATTTTTTCCTGTGCCTGTTGGCAATCTATATATCTTCTTTGGAGAAGTGTCTACGTAGCTCTTCCACTCATTTTTGATTGGGTTCTTTGTTTTCTTTTCATTGAGTTGTGTGAGTTCTTTGTAGATTTTGGACATTAGCCCCTTGTCAGATGTCTGATCTGCAAATATTTTCTCTCATTCAGTGGGATGTCTTTTCATTTTAATGATAATTTCTTTCACTTTGCAGAACTTTTTAGTTTGATGTAGTCTCATTTCTGCATTTTTGCCTTTGTTTTCCTTATCATTGGAGTTAAGTCCCTAAAGACTTCACTGAAACTAATGTCAAGAAGTGTTTTGCCTATATTTTCTTCAATGTCTTTTTATTTCTGATCTTACATCCAAGTCTTCAATCCATTTAAAGTTAATATTTATGTATGATTTGAGTCTACTTTCATGTCCCTGAATATGGCTGTCCAGTTTTCTCTACCATTTGTTAAAGAGTCTTTCTCCATTATATATGCTTTGTTCCTTTGTCATAAATGAATTGTTCGTATGTTTGGGTTTATTTCTGGGATCTCAATTCTATCATATTCCATTCATCTGTATGTCTGTTTTATTCCAGTACCATGTTGCTTTTATTATTATAGCCTTGTAGTATAGTTTGAAGTCTGAGAGTGTGATACCTTCATTCCTCTTCTTTTTGTCAAAATTACTTTGGTTATTTGGAGTCTTTTGTGGGTCCATATAATTTTCAGTAATGTTTGCTCTATTTCTTGGAAGACACCTCAGATTGCTTTCACTAACATGACAACAATGCCACCCAGCAAAAAATTTAGATTTCTACTAAATTTTTCAAGAACTCAGACATCATATTTCTTGATACCTGCTTTAGCCCTCATCTCTTTCTGTCTACTGTGTCCTTTCTGTGATACCCAAGAGCCCCCACAGTTTACAGAATCTCTCTGCCTTGACATTTCATTACTTCCTGGGTTGAGAGTCTATTTCCTAAACAGTGTGGCTGGAAGGAATTCAGCATTGACTAGAGGGAGGACAGGAAATGAGAGATGACTAGCTGGGGACATGTCAGCTGTTGCTTCCAAAAGAGGTGGGGGGGGGCGGGAAATCACATACATTTCTATCTAGATACAGTTCCCCTGACTGAAAAACAGTGCCAGAGAAGTCCTGAAAAATTCTGTGACAAAAGAGTGTGAGGACTGAGAAAGATTTCTGACCCCACCCTGGTTCAAGACCAACCAAGAACCTTTTCCACAAATGCATACCCCTTTCTCTCCCCCACACAACACTCACAGAGACACCAATGAAGAGTCTTACCACACGGTACACAGATGTGCTTTCTCCTCTCCCTCAGATCCACCCACCACATGTCCACAAAGCATAACCCAGGAAGGCGATGTCGATGTATCAGATGTCTCCTCACCCCCTTCCTCTCTCTCACTTTCTCTTTCTTGCCCCCAACCTCCAGGTGCTTCTCAATCTTACTCAGCAGCATTTCAATGAGTATATACATGGATAGGCAAACATTTTTCTATGGAAAAGTGGGAAGAAAAGTGACCGAGTAAGTAATACAAGGTGCTGAGTAGGAGGAGAGAATGGGTGGGAGAAAAAGAATGTGGGTAAAGAGCCAGGGAGGAGGTCCAGCCAAAGTGGACACACGCTGTTAGTCAGTTTCACTTGCCTTTGAGGAAGCACTCGGAGACAGTGCTGGCGCTGCCAGCCATGTGCATCCTCTGCCTGCTTGGGGATATTTATTTCACTGCTCATTAGCACCTCCACCAGACGTATAGGCTGAGAAACTTGAACCACCCTTGCTCACACGCAGCCAGCATGACGACTATGCTTAGAGGAGGCAGGAGTAAGACCCAGAGAGGCTTGGAGAATATTCTTCAAGCTACTTGGATAAATTAGGAAAAGTCAAATTGTTTACTTACAGACAGACTTCGTCCCCCAATTCTGTTTGCTGTTGCTATAGTTATTCAAGGAGTGATTTATGCGTAACAAAAGGCTTTATTGCCAAAAGGAAAGCATTCACTCTCTTACTGCACCCAGCATTCAAGAAACTGAGTTTGGGTCCCCTTTTCTACAGGGGTGTCCTCACCCTGTACTGTGCTCAGCATGGGAGCCCACCCTGGGGAGAAAGACTCTCAGATGACCTCACAGGGGAGGTCATCTCCTTCCTGGGTTATGCTATCAAATCACTTTTTTTCATTCTGATCCCCATAGAGAGTTGGAAAACAGTCTTAGAAAATACTCTTGGTACGAGGAAGACAAAAAAAAAAACACACCTTAAAATTTAAAATCCCCAAACAAATGCCAAAATTTGAATTTCTGAAAGATTTATAAGCAGTATAAGTAATACCCTAGGGAATAAGAGAGGGGGCGGGGAGCCAAACACAGTATAGTTTTGTTTTTGTTGGCTGAGATTTTATTTTTGTTTTTGTGGGACTTTGAGGGGGGAAGTGCTTGAAAATAGAAGAATTTGACCATTTACTTAAGAAGGTTTCTCTTGGCCTCCCAGTCTAAGTTTTGCGTTTTGCTCCCTCCAACTCAGATGCCATTCGGTGATAGCTCTAGGTTTTGCACAGTTCCTGACTTCCTTACACAGGGCCAAAGGCTCGTCTCGTGTGCACAGAAAGGGTTGGAAAATATTTTTTGTGATCTGAGAGCCGCGGAGAGTCTAGGATTCCAGAGGAAGTGGAAGCCTCCCGCTCCACACAGGAAACAATCTTCAAGCAGGCCTTAAATGCCAGATTCCAGGCCGAGTTTAACTAACCACTGACAGCTCTGTAAACAAAGCAAGGACAAAAAGAGCCCGCTTCCCCTTTTCTGGTAGTCATTTTGGGTTTGGGGGCTGCTGGGGAATTCTGGAATACTTGGCTCCATGGCACAGAAACGCAGGAGAAGCGGGTTTCTCCGTTGAAGAGCTGGAAAGGGAAGATATTTCTGGGATTAAAACCATCCAGAAGGAGGTAGGGAAGGCTGAAAGGGTTGGGTGACATCTGTAGAAAGAGCAGGAACTTTTGAGCCCTGAAAATAACTTAAACATAACAGCTGCTTTTTTTTTCAAGGCTGCTGCATCATGCTTATTCATTATGGCTGCCTTCTTTAGTATCATTGTGAAAATAACATTCTTTTAGAATATGCGAATTATGCCCAGGGACTTGTGTTATTTTATTTCTCTTTTCCTTTTCCTTTGCTCTGAGTTCCTCCCTAGGCCTTTATTTGCCACTTTCCTGGCTTTTTCCACTCTTGTTCTCTTTTCCTCTTTCTTTGTTCACCACTGGCTGACTTTTGTCCATGCTTCTGCAAGTTACCAAGAACAAGATCATTCAGTAGCTCTCCACTAGTACACTGTTTCAAGGTTTCAAAACCTCTCTGTCTCCTGAGGTCTTGATTATTATTTAAACTGTATTTCTGGAATCTTACTTATTTGTCTCTAATGATTTCATGAATGAGACTGAATTGAATACATGAAAGGACTCTGCTAGGGAGTCAGAAATTGATCACTAGCCACTTCATCCTCTCCCAAGGTGCTTTTCTTAGGAGTAAAGAAACAATGAGGGAGTGAAAGTGCTGATGAGGGGGCACTAAAATGATTCACTGGAAATAATACTCTGACTCATCGATGATATTGGCTCTGCCTCCTCCCCTTAGACTCAGACATCATCTGGTCTCCTGAACCCACACCATGGATGATTTTGAACGTCGCAGGGAACTCAGGAGGCAAAAGCGGGAAGAGATGCGCCTGGAAGCAGAAAGGTAAGGATCTGGGTGACACCCAGACTTGGGGGTTTCAGACCCCCAAGTTCATCACTCTGAGAAGCCAAATGTATTGCACACTGAACTGTTGACAAAAGTAATTGTGGAAAATTTTCTTAACTGTTAAAACTCTAAATTTCGCGTTAAGAAGGAAAGAGATTGAAGAAGTATCAGGGGGTTGCAGTTAATTAGGGACTTTCATATTGGAATTTTCAAGTGGCAATGGCAGTGTGTGGATAAAGACCTAAAAATCATCTATAATGTTGAAATGACAGAAAAAGGATCGATGTTGAAACAACATAGAAAATGGGAGTCTTTGGTCTTTAAAAGTAAAGCCAATAAACCCCATAAAGATCTTGTGACAAATCTATTCTTGTAAAAAAGACATCTAATTCCAGTAGTCTACCTCTTATGGGTTAATTAAAGCCAATGGAATATGTGACTGTGGAGATTCTGAGTCTGTTTGGAAGCTGTTAGGTTGTGTGAGGCCTCTGTGGAGGTGACTTTGTGGGCAGGTTGGGGAAATAAAGCAGTGACATTGAAGCATGGGGCATAAATGTGTATTTTAAAATTTTAGTGGCATTTACTGGGACTTCTGTTAGATATCCTTTTGAGAAAGCAGAGGAGGTTTTCACAGGAGAAAAACTGTTAAACAGTGTTCTTAAAATCAGAACAGTCATTCCAATGCACAAAAAAAAAAAAAATGATAGTAAGGCAATAAACAGAGACCTCACAGAAAGGTATGTGTGATAACAATACATTGGATGTATGTGTCTACATCTGTGGTGGACTGGAGTGAGGGACACCCATGCTGAGAGAACTAGTATTGTGTATACAGAAATGAGATCCTGAATCAGGGCAGCAAATATGGAAATGAAGATCATTTCCATGAGAGTCTTTAGATGGAGGGAGAATTGTCAAACCTGTCAGGAGAGGGAGAAATCCAAAGGTAATTTCAAAGAAGGTAGGTCTGAGGAGCTAGAAGGAATATCTCTCCATTGCCCCAGATGGGGAAAGATTTCATTCTTGGGTGAGTGTGTGGGGAGTGTTTGATTTCAGGTAGAAAATCATCCCCATGAAGATTCCCTCCCGGTATTTTGGAGATAGAAAATTTCAATCTTTGTTCAAAAAGGAAGAGAAAATATTATTAAAGAGCTAATTTTGGGCACACCCAATATCGTGGTGATAACACAAAACTGAAGGTGGATGGCAGGGGTAGTGCCAAGAAAGGAAGTGTATAGAGGGTGAGAGCTCATAAAGACTTAATGGAAATCATCCAAGGAAACAAACAAACAAAAAAAAACAATATTAAGGGTATGGGGAGAACCAGGAAGAGGATGGCATGCCAGCATTGAGTGGGCATTGAAGGCTTGTAGGCAACATTGGGACTCAGTGGAACTTACTCTTATTCTTTCCAGTAATGGGTTACCAAATTCTCCTGAAAGTCTGTAGAGCAAATACTTCTACCCAACAAATACTTACTAAGCACCAACCAGTTTCCTGTGTATCCAGTAAAGATGGACTGACTGCATAGATATCTCTACACAAAGAAAAGAACATCAAAGCATACAGTGGAAGGAAGGATGGCCCTATAGTTGAGGACATGGGTGTTAGCATTGGAGAGCATGCTATCAAATCCAAGGTCTGCTACTTATTAACTCTATAACATTACAAATTATTCAGTCTTTTGAATCTTCTGTTTCCTCATCTTTAAAAAATAAGGATTTAAAAGAATTTAGAAGTAATAATATCCCTCTTATAGGGCTAAAAGGAAATAAAAAATAAAATATTGCATAGTACTAATCATCTAGCATTTATTAGATAATTATTATTTATTGAGTTATTTCTTGACTGTTATTCAATAAGCATCCCCGTGGTTACTATTATCTAATTTTATTCTCTGCAACCCACCAAGAATTGAAGATACATTTTATAATTACCATAAATCAGAACAAAATAAAAAACACAGGGTTTTCTTTGTACACATCTCAGAGGATACAAGAGCCCTGGGCAAGATGAAGAGAAGGAATTTGCAATCGAATGAAGAGTTATAAGCAAGCAGATGTGATAGGCAACAAGGTCTGAGGGAGGATTGCATTGTCTTAGCTAAAAAAGTAAATACCAATTCAAGTTGAGCTCTTCCTATACATCTAGCAAAAAAGATGTTGAATTTTGGTGTCTCTCTGAGAATGTTGCAGTGATGTTTTATCCTTTATCTTTAATCTGACATGCTTTCTGGGTGCTGGGCTCCATTTTACAACAAGGAGCTCTCTCACGTCTCCAGACAAGAACTCATTACATTTCCACCCCTTGCTTTCCACACCCAATGTGAGCCCCACTTTCTAGACAGAAGAAAGGCCCCTATTGTAGAGTTGTGTTATCACATTCAGGGACTCACAGACATAAATAATGGGAATGAAAACATTCTTGTTGTTGTCATTGTTCATACATTTTTATGGGCCTCTGAAATATCTTAATGATTACACATTTAAAAGTAAATATTTTTACTACACTAGAAAAACAAACAATTTTTGAAAATCCACTGAGTCTGTGTTGTCCCCTCCCGGAATTATGTCAGTGAAACTCTTTTACATGATTTAATAGCATGACCAATCAACGTTTATAACACATTCACACACACACACACACACACACTATTATTCACAAAGCTTAGCACTGTGACCTTGAAAGTTTAAATCAAAATTTTAAATACAGTCTATGAAATATAACCCAGAATTTTATCTGAGGAATTTGATTTAGCAAAAATAGTTCTCAAGTGGAAAAAAAAAGTACCAAATTTTTCATCTAATGTTAGAAAGGGAAGGGAACTATCATTTGTTTAGCATTAACCAAGTGCCAGCACAGGCGAGGCATTTTATATACCTTCTATCATTTAATTGCCAAAACAACCCCCAAAACCTTTCCTAGTCTCTTCAAGTTGTTACAACAGAATACCAAAGGTGGGATGGATTAAAAACAACAAAAAATCACTTCTCACAGTTCTGGGGTCTCGGAAGGCCAACATCAAGGTATTGGCAGACTCAGAATCTCATGAGGATTCACGTCGTGATTCTCAGATGCCACATCTTCACTGTATCCTCATGTGGCAGAAAGGGCCAGTAAGCTGTCTGGAGTCTCTCTCATAAAGGGCACTAACCCCATTCATCAGGCTCCCACTCTCATGACCTGTTCATCAAAGGCTGCTCCTTCCTCCTAACACCATCCCCTTGGTTAGTTTTCAACTTATGAACTCTGGGGAGACACCAACATTCAATCTATGGCAGGCTTGGAAATGATTGTTCCTGTTTAACAGTTGAGGAATCTGTGACTTTCAAAGGTTAGGCAGCATGTCCAACTTCACACAGCCAGGGAGCACCATCAGTTTCTGCCAACCCCAAATCTTAAAACCTCTCTACTGTAACAGATGAATCAACGGGATTTCTCACATACAACTGGTTGTCTTGGCTGAAGGTCCATCATCTCTACAACACTAAACTAATTCCCGAAGATGGGGGGAAATCATTTAAAGCAGTTTTATGGCAACAGTTATATGGCAACTGTGTCTACACATTGTTTTGTTTGCCCTCAAAAAAATCTCCCATTTCACAGAAAAATAGCAACAAAAATCAGGTTCCCCACCCCCCAAGCCAAAGAAAGCTGTTGGTCTAACTGTGCTTGGCTTTTCTCTAGATTCTTCCCAATAAGACTGTATTCACCATTAGGACAAGGACTTAGTCACATTATCACTCACAAAAGCTTTTGGCTGTCACTAACCTCATAGATCATCTTCTGCAGTGGAATGTTACTTTTTCATTTTTGGACCACACACTATTTTGAGTCTCTGATGAAAGCTATCAACCCTCCTCCAAGAAAAATGCATATGTGCACCCAAAAACTTGGCGTTTACCTTCAGTGGTGTCATGGACCTCCATCCACAGACCTCCTAGGGGCCCGTGAACTCAGGGCCAAGAATCCCTGATCTCATGAACTTGAAAAGTTTCATTTTACATATGAGGAAACATTAGTCTGAGGATGTTGACCTCCTCAAGGTCATCCAGCTAAGCTGAGGCAAGTCTCTTGCACAGTACAGATCTGTGAATAAATGGAACCACCCGAATTTTGCTATCTGTACAAAATGCCATAGCTTTTGAGTAGGAAAAAGGATATACTGTAATGTATCACATGTAGGATTTTTTTTAATTTAAAAATCATTATGGATATTATTTCTAAATTAATGGACATCAAATCCGATTACTTCAGAGTAAGTTAGTTGAAAAACAAGGTAAGTAGATAGGCAGAATAAAACATTTATTAGAAACCAGGAGTCAAATTTTGCCTTTTGAGTCAAGAAGGAAAAAAGAACAATAGTGATTTTGTGAACAGAACCCTATTTGCCATCAATTTTGGAAGTCTTTTATTTGGTATGTATTGTCTTGGCAAGATTTCTTTAAACAAAAGTTCATTATGATATGAAGTTATTATGAAGGATTTCTCCATTTTTACCAATTTCATTTTAGCAATCCAAACTCATCTAAGGATTTTTCTCTGTAAATGTGAAAGAGATAAGAACTGATTTGATTCCTTACAATGATTTCACATTTTGCCTTTATTGCTACTATCTATTGGGGAGGGTGGAGCACATTTGGGGTGGAATAAAGACTTGACACCTTCTAGAAAGCCAGATCATGTAGAATTTGGTTTGAAACCTATGACTTACCAAGATAACTATATTTGACTTCTCTAAGCCCATATCCTATTAATAGTTCTTCCTCATAAGGTTTCACATAGGTTGTAAAACACTGGATGATTGGTTGATATAGATAGATGGATGGATGGATAGATAGATAGATAGATAGATAGATAGATAGATAGATAGATAGATAGATAGATAGACAGATAGATATAACATACACGCTATGTAGATTGAGACATGATGCATATATATATCATATTTATATATGTGAATATATGATTGGTGCCAGTAATTATTGCCTATCACA